AAACGAAACCACCGATTACGTCCCGCACAGAGACCTCCCCTATTTCAGCCGCATTCCACCTTGGGATAGAGAAGGGGCGCGTTGGACGAGTTTCACGAACCTAACTCTAGTTGCTCCAGTGCCAATGACATTGGATCGCGGTGGGACCGCTGCCTCAAATGCGCCCGCGCTTTTCAAGCAGCGCCACGTGGCAACCGGACAGCGGAGGGTGGGGCTTGCGGACGAAGGTGTGAGTTGCGGTCGGACGAGCTGCTTGTGCCCTTTGTCGCGCACTTTCAAGCGGCAAAAGGGCGCGAGCATGAGCGGTTTGCCGGCCTGTCTACTATCCTACAATGGAACAGGCGTGCCTAATCCCGGACCGTGCCTTCAACTATCACTTCACCTGCCCCTACCCCTTCATCAATGAGCCACCTTTAAGGCGATTGTTGCCTGTCTTTGTATGAAATTATCACTTAAGCGCTCCGATTATGAAGCCATTGGTTGTGATTGTCCGTAATTCCACGACGATTTTCACATCACACCATTGTGCTTTCTCATGGAAATGGACCGCCCTCGCTACGTGCTTATAGTTTAGGCGAAATTTCATAACGACTGTCCTCGAAGTAGAGCGAGTCGTAAGCCCACAAAAACGGTCTAAGCGCTTTTGATGTATTTATTTTTTCTGTGTTTAATGGTAGAAAGTATTTATGTAAGTGCCCTCTGGGACCTTTTCACGCTTACCTTGTTCGGGAAGCGAAATCTATAAGGGTAGATCAACGAATAAAGTTTAATTAAATAAATTTTGATGGAAGGAAACGGTGTGAGTCTTGCACACAAATATGAAACTATTGTTGCGAAAATGGGCCGTAAGTTAGGAAACCAGGAAAGAATTTCGCAAAAACGCCTAGGAAGAATTGGCTTATTATTAGTAATGCAACATTTGCTAAGGCAATGAGAGACTGAGTGCGAAGGAGAGCATGAGGCGGTGGAGCGCAGCAGATCACCGAGCGTCAGACAGTATGCTGCTCGAACGCTGGGAATTTAAATTGACCTGTTGAAACATCTTTTTCCATCGCGATTCACAGTTTTGTTGTGCACGAGGGTGCCACATTTGTGACTGAACTTTAGGGGTCTATCCTGTCAAATCATAGGTGACGCATCATTCACCCGGATTCCTTCTGGTTGTGCCTTCAAGTGCCTAATTTATCATAATTACGTACCAAGGCTCTGTATACACAGGGGGGTTGGGGAGGACAGAAAAAAGAGTCACATCGCATGGCATGCAACTCATCAAATTTTTTCGTCGGCACAGGATGCTGGTTGTTTGTTTTGGCGGCCAGAATATTTCCTTAGGTATCCCCCAAAAAGTAGCAGCCTCCTCCACCGTCTTCAGAATAATGAGCATCTGCTGTCCGCCGTCAAGCTCCACGAAGCTTACCGTAATCGCTCCGGCCTGAAGCTGCAACATGATTTCTTCAACCGATTAACTGGTGAATAGCTTCCCAGAGACACTAGCTGTGACTGTGCAAGACCGCTTTTGACCAGCGTTCCAGGGACGTCGTAATGGTCTATGGTACCTCGACCTCGTTGAGCTCGTACCGTGAACCATGTTTCCGTGGGAAAATCTTCCCATGTCGTCGGTGTAGAAGGATATTATGTAAACTTTCCGATTGATTAGACTGCGCTCTTCAATATACATCCAAGCTCACCTGGTTCGGTTTCACGACGTGTATTTGAATCCGCTTTGAATGTGGAGGAAGTGACTCTTCTTGCCCCCCCCCTCCCTGTATGTGTGAAAAGGAGGTGATCGCATGGCCGAGGACGAGCTCAATGCTGACGTTCTATTAGAACGTGATGTCATTGATAGCGATAAAACCTCCACTGTATAAGACACTGGATTTACTCCAGCAAGTGCTCACTTCACAAGTGCGACAGGTCTCAAGCATACTCCCGAATTCACGAATGGGGCCAAAACTGGTGCAATTGACACTAATCGGGAAACATAGAAGCACAACGCCTTGCTGACTCTCTTCTGGAAATGATTACAGCGAGGAACTCTTGGGTCACTTCATATACAGCCGCAACTTTGGTGTGTCGGGTTGTTGGTGTGTATGTCGCTCTGTTCGTCCGTAAAATGGAGGCCTCTGGTAGAGTGAACCAACCGCTAACAGAACCAGGAAGTCGAAGGCCTACGCTTCGTGATGTTTCATGCCATGTGCTTTGTAACGCCTATAACGGATAAAGGTATTACATTTGTTACTTGCTAAATTCTCTTATTGCTCCAATTCCTTTCTTATGACTGCTGACAGAGAAATTTACGGGATCAAAAAATGAAAGGTCACCGGACAAATTCAATCGAATTTTTTCTTTCTGTTTTGTCCATCGATTTCCTAAGCTATTGCTTAATTATATGCCATTTCGTTAGGGGCCATGTGGTAAAGGATAAAAGGATAAAGCATTTGCCGTTGATCAATCCCTTTTTGGGATGCACGCATTCTACTTCCATTTGTACATTCGTAGTGGCGTTTGAATGCGATGTGGCCTATACAATGACTTGCGGGGGCCAGCCGATGTACAAGTCAGTGTTTTTATCCTCCCAGACAAGTCTGGTACCAATTAACCGACCCCGGAGGGATGGAAGGCTTGGTTGGCCCGGGCGACTCACGACCCAGGATTTGATCCCCGGACCGCTCGCGTGGTAAGCGTGCCACTTGCCACTACACCACTTCCGCCCTTATAACGTATAACGTATATAAAGACAGCATCCAGCGGGAAAAGGAAAGCCAGCGCATTTTAGGACTGAGATGCAATTCAATGCTCGGGTGCTACTCTAACGTGATTGTCATGCACAGCCCAAAACGGCTGTATACATGAACCGATTGAGCACACTTTCGTCATTCACATGGGTAGCTATAAGGAGCGGAGGAGACGGGGAAGGGGTGGGACTAACCGCGTATAAGTCCGAGTCCAAAGTTGAGGTATTACTTTGGGAAATTATGATTCTGATAACACACACAGTACCGAATACCTTGAGTGAAGCTGTCGTCTTTGGATGGTAGCCATGCTGTTGAATGCAACTACTTCAATTGTCTTCTGAGTGTTTCTTTCAAAAGTTCAAGAGCGTGCACTACGCAATGTGTAAACTAGACCGGGGGAAGGCTACCCCACCCGTCCGTGATGAAAATCACATTCTTTCTCAAGGAAAGAGAATCATAAGCCATTAACACATTGACGACATTGAGACGCGGTAACGCGTCTCACTTTGCGCACCTCGTTGGACATTGAGACGCGTTACCGCGTCTCACCCTTATCATCCCTTTTTCTAGGGCATGCGCAGCTTTTTCCCGAATTGTTTGTCTCTCTTCTATGGATTAGAACATAACATTATTGTGAACGACATAGGTCATTGTTTGTTCAAATATGCTCCAGTTTAGAAGAAGTTTTCCAAGCTCACCGAAACCGGCGGCTTGGTTCATTAATAGTTTTCATGCTATTCTCATGAACACGTCAATAAAAAAGGGTAGTGAAAGTAAATGCAAATCTAAAGAGACAGAAAAATACATGTTTCACTTGGTATAACCACATCAAAAGAGCTTTTGGCATCCACTACAGATAAAATGACTAAAGTTTCCTTTTTCATTACCATTACATGTTCTTTAATCGGAACTTCGTCACTATATACTCTATTACCTTCTACGCATTGACTGTTACTGAGATGTTTTTGTACCACTGGTGCTTTAAAAAGTTATCAATAAAAATTCACGGATCCGAGGTGCGGCGGTCGCACTCGCAAAATCGGCCCGGTCCCACACGGCCAAAAAAGCCAAAACGCGCGCGGTCGTCAATGTGTTAAAGTGCAATGTAATAGGCTGGCAGTCACCGAAGCAGTGGACGACTGTCCGGAATATGGGAGGGTTACGTTGTGATTTCGTGATCTGAGATAACTGCTTCAGAGAAGATCTTTTCCTGTCCTCAAAATAACACAGTCAGCCAGCGTAGCCGGGCGATCCTATAAGGAGGAGGAAGCTCGGCGTCAGCAGGACAATTCGACTGGTATACAAATAATTGTTATAACAGGCAGTAACTCATAACGCTAATGAGCAGCCTTAGGTAATTTGCTAGAATCGTCATCACATATTATGTCACGAACTAAGCTGAGCTGCATCATTTTTGCTTGGGAAAAAAGAAAGGAGCTTGACTTATTACCTGTGCCACCTGTCGCCCATTGATCATCAACTTGCTGAAGCGGGCGCCAGCAACGTCCCCATTCGTCCCTGTGGCACGGGTAGTCCATTCTATGTATTGGATCCTCAACGCTCGAGGGACACGATGTCCTTCATTCCTTTCGTTCAGAGCTTTCGTGAAGAAGTCTGACCATCGGGCCGGCGGTCGTCCAGGTGTTCGTTTGACGTCCCGAGGGATCCAGTCGGTAACCGCTCTGGTCCAACGGTCATCGCAAAATCGCATGACGTGTCCGGCCCACCTTATCTTCGATTCCTTGGCGAAAACGGCAGCGTCCCTGTCTTCGATCGTTGGCGTAGTTCGGCACTCCGGATTCCCCTCTGCACTTGCGTGTATAGGGTTACTCCTAGCATCGTCCTCTCGACAGCGCGTTGGATAACGCTGAGGACGGATTACGCATTTCCGGCGCTAGATTTGCCCGTGCTGAGCAGGCTCCCACCGCTTTCGGCAGCTTTCATACCTGAGGTCTCTGTCCAATCCTGCCAATTTTGAGCTAAGATCCTGAATGGAACCGCTAATTTAGGGTCGCCTCACCTACGTGGGTAGTTTTCCTTTATCCTCTACGAAGGGTGATAACCACAAGATGCATGTAGACGGTTCACATGTCTTTTTTGGAGCCATTGCTGGGTACTTCCTCTCCCTCTCACCGTTCAATCGTCCTCTCATATTCCTCAGATCTATCCCTTCTTGATGATCTCTTCCTTCCGATAGCTGCTTGTTGGTGTTATGGATGAAAAATTTATTTGACTCAATTGCAGCCTTGTTCAAGTTCGGCTCTAATGGACAGCTCTACACATTCCCTCACACGCCGATTGTCCTTCGAGAGCACAACGACCAGCGAATTCGAGGTTGTGCCTCGCGAGCGCACCTCTTCGGGCAGTACTGTGGGAGGTCAGAATGCTATACTTCCCATGCGACTTTACAACAATGCTTACTATTTCAGAGAGCTACTGCAGAGGCATATCTTCATCTCCATCGCCGTCGCCACCTACTTCATTCAGGGTTCCCGATTTACACATAGAGCATAATGCCTCTGAGCAGGAATCTCTAACACGGTAGTTTTTGCGCTTCTGAAACAGCTTTCAGTTTCAACATTCACTGGTTTCTTTAAGCAGTGAACCAGGAGCAGAAGTCGATCAATCGCCCGTAGAAGAAGAGAGTATTCGCTCGTTTGCAAATGTTGCGTCTCAAGCATCAGGTACCTTCTTTCAAAAAATTAACTCAGTACAAGTACCAACTATTTTAAGGATCCGATCTCAGCACGATGGCAAGAGAATCTGCAGGGATGCTTGAGCAAGTTTTCCATGAACTGTTCACAATAAAGAGAAGAAATTCAGTGGTGAGCTCCTGCATTTCCCTTGAGCGCTTCAATTCATTGCCGCCTCAAAGTGAAATACTTGACTAATTCAGCTTGAGAGGATGGCATCACAGTCCAATGAGTGGAGGACCGCGACTGAGCAGCTAGAGAAGGAGACTAAAATGTTGCATAGAAGTTTGAAGGCGTCCAGAATCGTCTAGTTTTTACTAGATTCACAACATGTATTGGTTGATCCAGTCATTCTCTGGCCGAATTCCAACACTTTGATTTATTCAAGTTTTAATCTCTCCTAAGAGACAATGATCAAAAAACATAACCACCATCATTATCACTGATATGCACCCATTTCCCATGGAACGAATGGATGCATTCCTCCCAGAACGAGAGAAGCTGTGAGATGAAAAGGCCGAAGAGGCCGTTTTTGGGGTGGTTGTATTTATTGACTTTTTCCTCTCCAAGCTGCTGCTTCAGGGGGCTGCGGAGAGTGATAGTACGATGGAGCAACTATCCGACAGATGTGGCTCGTTTCCGAGCCAGTAGCAATTATGGATCAACCCCAATATTTCTACATGTCGCGGTTGAACTCGATTACGTACTCACTTTGTACGTCGTTTCAGGAAGAAAAACTAGAAGAGGAAGTAAAGCAACTCATTGAGGAAAAGGAAGAGTTGCTGGTTAAGCTGAGTTCACAAAAGGTGAAAAATTTTCAGGGCGATTTGTTATCTAAAAGCGACCAAACTTATGCTGACTCAAGTCATCGATATTCTTCTTATACTTCAAAGCAAGCGAGGCGCGAATAATTGATAATTAGTGACAATCAGCGGTCCCCAAGCAGGTCAACCCGTTGCGTACGCACTTCTTTCAAAAAAATTTTTTTGCGAAAATCGCACATCCCTTAGGGGGAGGGTGGTGGGCCTCGTTGAACCTCTCACCACCCACGCCGCCCAACCACCATGAGACTTAGCAAATCTACCCCATACGCACATCTCCTTCTCCTACGCTCAGCCGTCACCCTCGCCAATCAGGCTGCTTGTCTAATCATGCGTTTGATAAACAGTCGACACAAACCAACTCCGGCTCTTTTTCTCAGGAGAGGACGGTGAGGGGAGTTGCCGGTGTAAACGAAAATTAACAATCCTATAATTTGCCTAATTCACAGCTCATTTCTAGCAGAAATTTCCAACCAATTTCAATCCAGAAATCGTCTAAATGCAACTGCCCCATTTCAACGATCCGTTTCACTTCTCTCAAGCTCTCAGGTTACCAACCTTACCTCAACCCCACCACTTCCGCCCCGGAGACCAAGGTAACCTCCACGTAACACTCAGAAATGCGATTCCCCTTCCCGGAATCACATCCCCTCACCTGAATAGTGCGAACGGACGGTTGACCCTGGTGCCAAGTGGTGCGTCGATGAAAAAACTAACCGTAAGAGAATTGATAAGATTGTGGTGTCCCAAAGCCTCATGTCGATCTGAAGGTTTTTGCTCTTTCGAGATCACCTATATTTTACACAAGCCTCGTTTCGGGCTGTTTATTGTGTGGCGTGGAACTTGGCGCGCGGTGACTAGCGACCCCGATATTCGAATGAAGTCCTTAATTCTTACTCATGATAGTTAATTTCTCGAAAGTTTCCCAACGGAAACACTTCCTACAAAATGTTCGAAATTGGATCGTGCGAAGTGGAGCGAATACGCAGACAGTCTCAGTTTTCAAGCATGTCTAAAGCCTAGCTTTATATTCCGATATTTCCCCTGGCATTCTAATTCATTAATACTGAACGCATTAGCTATATCTATCAAATTTCACTATCTAAAGAATGGTAATTTGTTGGACTAATGAAAATATAGTAAAACGTAATAGAATAAATTATACCGAACTCAATACTAATGCGTTCATTATCTAATTATGGTAGCTTTACCATCTTTACTTTACCAACTTTTAACCTGAGCCGGGAGGAAATGGTGCCCCGATGCGTGACTGGTAGCACAATTGCTCGGAAAAGCAATGAAGGGCAATGGAATAGGGAAAGATAACTATTGATACTGTACACGTATGATTTGTGATACATTCGTTTTGATATAATTCTTTCTGAACCTTCAGGTGGACTCCACTAAAGCTCAATCGACTTCATGGTTACACCGCATTATAGTGGTAGGGATCATTATAGCTGCAATTGCAATGTACCTGAACTGCTATGCTCAGGTATGATTACCACTATATTGGGGCACATTTAGCGACAGAGCAGGTATGTCATTAAGTCCGAAAATGAACGTAATTCGTTAGTTGGTCCATCTGCAAATGAAAGAAGGATTAATATGCTTAGAATACCTGAAAGTCCACGCAGAATCTTATTGGTGGGATTGCACCACGCCCTGCGGCACCTCACTGATTGGCGGCTGCCCTTGGTGCGGTAAATTACCGTAAAATACAATAAAGAGATGTGATCAACCAGAGTGTGCAGGGGCGAGGCACAAAACGCGCCCATAAGATAAGTGTACAGTGTGATTTCGATGTTCCTTAGTGTTTTTTTGTTTTCATTAATTGCTTTCTTTTATTACGGGTGAACCAAAATGACACACTATTTTCTTCACTTTTGGACACCTGAGCGTAGAGGTCTCTAATCGCAATAAGCGTTAATCGGCAATCAAACAACGACAAGGAGCTTGAAAGCATTGTGAGTTCTGCTTCTATATAGAGATTTTTCAGTTACTGAAGAAGCAGCGCCACACCAAGGATTTGGAAGAGCAGCTATCGATAATGAATGAGCTTGTGGAGAAATTAGGAGGTGGAGCGTGCGGCTGAGGTAATTTCATTGCATTGTTAATTGTAATTTCATTGTAATCATTATCGAAGCAAACTTTTCAGTATCAACGGCGACTAGAGGAGACATCGAAAACGAATTACAGATGACATGAGCGCCGACATTGCCCTTGCACGAAAAGAGGTCCTGTTTTCATCAATAAAACCTGTGCTTTTCAGATATCCTAAATAAGAAAAGATGGGTTCATGCCCCGGTCAGCCGTTTGTTGAGAACTTCCCAACGAGTAGGTCGTATTTTGGAACTCTTTGGAAAGGAGTCGCAAATTTGGAGAGATATGGAGATAAGATGGTTTGCGAGAACCTAGATAAGAACAAAATCTAGGAAGAGTTGTGAAAATCTTCTGCCGGTTCATCAATATATGTACACTTTCGCCGTTATCCTCTCTCGAAGCACTTTTCGTGTATTAGGGGCAGGAATTCCATTTTGAATCGTGCCATGATAAAATGAGATGTGAATCAAGTCGAACGACTCTGGACACTGACACAATTGATCGCGGAGAGCCCTCTAAGGAAGTATCCGGTTTTGAAATTCGTCCCAAGCTCACCCTAGGCCAGTCTGAGCTGAGTCCTTTCCAAGGTGCACCTTCTGACAGCTTTTTGAAAGCGACTGAAGCGTCTATTTGGGTAACCAATTAAATGAATAATGATTTTAGCGCGAACTTGAACACGAACGACTCATAGAAGCGTATCGCGAAAAAATGCTTCTCTAATGACGATCTTACTAGACTGCGCAAAGAGGTAGGTTCCATTCCCCTTTTCAGATCTTTTTCTCTTTCGGCAATACCAGTTTTTACCTTTAAACACTTTCAGAAGTCACAGAAACGGAAGAAATCTCCATCGTGGTTCGACTAGTACAGTTTCTTCTCGAATATGTGGTTTGGCTCGTAGATAAAAATGGTGAACATAGCAAGCGAACAGATCGATGTGCCTTGCCAGTCCATTGTAGCGTTAATTCCCAACAGCTGGTAGCTTGTCTACCTGAGTTCTTTGTTTATTTGTAAAATTCAGACTCCATGTAAATACAACCCTATATACAGGGCCCTTGATTATTATGTACCGGTATCAAATATCGGGCCTTTTCGATTTGCTACGGTGATATTCGGGTTTTAATAAAAATTCGCGTAGTTCAAGTGGATGTCGTCTCAATGCAATATATTCATTTTGTTTACCTAGCAAAATCGATTATCAAATCGCTATGTGACCAAGACATTACGTGGTTCATATGTGACCCTGACTTGTGGAAGCTTCTCGATAATTACAATCTGGAAATCAGACGAAAACCGCAGGTAGAGCTAGAAAAGATTTTGGTGCATGCAAGACTTGTTGGTACAGATTGCTTCATCCTTCTCCCTTTTCTTTTCCTCTCAGTACCATCTTGCAGTTGTTATCGGTTCTCACCAGGGAAGGATGATGGGTCGAAATGGCCATTTGAAACCTGATGCATGTCACTCGGAAGGCTTAGGCTTCCGAGTGACAGTTCCTTCCCCAAAGGCTCTCCATCATGGTTCGACTAGTACATTTTCCTCCTGAATATGTGCTTTGGCTTGTAGACAAAAATGGTGAATATATTAGGTTGTAGGGAAAGTTCTCGCGGTTTTTCGAAGCACGTTGAGCTCTGGTTGAGCAACTTTTTTGAATCGAAGCCAGAAAAGTTCTTTGCCGAAGGCATCAAAAGTCTGCCCGAAAAATGGCGAAGAGTGATAGAACGTGATGGTGATTACTTTGTTTCCTAATATGTTTTCTTGTTGATAAAAAATTAAGGTAATGATATGTGTCAAAAACCGCGAGAACTTTCCCTACAACCTATTATATTCCGTTTCCGAAATTCTGTCGTTATCGACCCAGCTTATTTTCAATATTCATGTATCTCAGCTTAAACAAACCTTACACCCGTTGAAATAAAAATCCTTTTGAATTGCTAACCTTCGCATAAGAAGATCCGTTCGTGTGTAGCCTATTGTTCAGGATGTTGGCTCTGGAGGGTTAACTGAAGGGAGGTGCTTTTTGCGTCGTTGTTGTGTTTCTTTGATGCATTCCCTCACAGGAACCTAATCAACGGCCTCCGAAAAAGTATTTCATTCTTTAGAAGTGTGTGAGCAGGGTGAATATCGGTCGAGGAATTCCTCGACGGGGGGTCGTATTTGCCCCTGTGGAAGACGGAGGGGGGTCGTAATTGTTGGTATCAGTATCGGACGTGGCGTGGTATCCAGTATTGGGAGGAGTGGAAGGGAGCACCTTTCTACTTTTGTCATTAAAATATTAAAGCGTAAGTGAACGTAATAGGAATTACTATTTGCAGGTTCCATCGTTATGCTCTTCAGCCTTCCCACGCGTACCTACGAACATAGGCTTCTCAAAAGGCGAGAAAACGAAGTGAAAGGAAGTTAAAGCACCGCAACATTTTATTGAGTGATAGTGTCCACTGCTAAAATGCCCGAGGAGAAAATCGAGGCTTTAGAGTATTCCTGATCATATTTTGAATCTCGTATTGTATCGAACCATCAACAGTACCTTACACTTCTTTTTTGGTGCTGCAAAAGCCGTTCAGCGGAAACGAAACATGGTTCTGTGTTCCAATGCGGCCCTACAATATGCAAGAAACCGTATTGAAAAAGGACGGTCGCTCTGAAGGACCCCCTTGTTTCTGCATGGACTGCGCAGAGCCTCGTAGCCATAGAGGCGGCGGGATTCCCTTAACCTGTGGGGCTTCAGGACACTGCTTCGTAGATGGTAACGAGTACATGGGCCGAAACAGCACTTGGTTTTTGGCTGAAGGACGGCTGAGCCTGGATCGGAGCCGTCAATGCTGTCAGAGAGGCGTTGAAAAGGAGAGAGCAAGCAAGTGAGGCTGACACGTGATTATAAGAACTCCTACGTTTGATCACTGCTGAGAACACTTCGGTTTTTATTAGCAACTCATCATGCACACGCAACACCTTTCAATTGATTCAAAATTTCGAGCGAGGACCGACGGCATGGCGTATACTAGACCGAAACTAAATAGAGCTGAGTGTCTGATTGTGTCAGCGACAGCCGAGAGATGCGTACCTAATGCATTTCAAGAGGTTTCAATGAATTTCCTAGCAGTAATGTACAAAGAATCCTGTTTCAAGTGAAGAAAAAACCCCTCGACTTTTCCTCGACGCAGATTTCTCTTTAAGTAGGAACTTTTCGAAACAGATCAGGTAGCCATTTGGAAGAGCAAACCTTCTACTTTCCAAAACAATCCACATGTTCCCAAACAATCGAGAATTAAGAAAGTTAATGTCTTAGAAAGACCAAAAATCAGCATGGAAATTTTGATGTCCTCGACGTTTACTCGACGTGGAAAATCTAACTGAACAGGGCATCTTCAAAACAACTTCAGCGATGGTTAGAAACTGCAATCGAAGCTCTTTCGAAGCACACCTTCAACGCTCCAAAAGATTAAGTTTCGAGAAAGTTATTAAGGTTTGAAACATAAGGGGAGGAGGCGAATTTTCATGAAAACTCGCTCCACCGCGAGAGCCGCGCCGCAGCCGCGCGAGGAAATAGCTGCCCCTTTAAATTCAAGAACTCTCTCATTGTTACTGCTATTTATCATTTTTTTCTTATTGCTGTCGTTTTTTTCTTTCTGTCGTGTGTGTATGCGCGTAGAATGTCGTGTGTGTCACAATGGTACATTGTTTTTTGCAGGAACTTTACGTGAGTCGTGGTTTTCGCGCTATTGTCGCCGAGTGAAGGTGGGTTCTCCATTCCTATTCATCATTTCTTCTCATTGCTGTCAATGTTTCGTTCTGTTCTGTGTGTGTACATGTAGAGTCAGTGTCCTTACAATTGTATATTGTCTTTTTTTGCAGGATCTTTGTGTGAATCGTGATTTTCGCGGTATAGTGCCGAGTATGAGACCCCGTTTCACGGAGGGGGTCGTACCGAGACTACCCGTTTCAGAGGGTCCGAAAGTACCTAGTTGGTTTTCCTCGACAGCATTTTCAGATGTGTAGTGAGTAGGATATCTGCAGCACCTCTTCTTAGCCTAGCTGGACCAACTTGTGCAGGGTTGGTTGTGCGACATGCGTGTAGGACAACTGTCAGAGATGTGTCCGTCCCTTTATAATGAGAAATGCTGAACCCGTATTTTGAAGATTTTGGTGAATTCTGACATAATGTTAAGAGTTCCCTCTACTGTAACAGTCCCACCTGATATGGGGGAACTTGGCCAATCGCTGACTTGATGAAAGTTGCTATAAACCTCCTCTAGCACAGTTTAAGTTTTGAAAGGGTTTGTAGAGCTTGATCGACGTCGAGCTATTTCAGCAAAGCTTTCGTAGACTGTAGAAAATAATCCTTTCTTCATTGTACGTCGCAAATTAGTAGAAAGGCGAGTCGCTTACATCACATAAAACAAGGTAGAAATTGAGGAACGACCTTCCGAATTGGTGCTTTGTCGCGGCACGCCCCTATCAAATTTTTGGATTTTCCAACTACTTCCTAATAACTTGGTTCCACAAACCATATACGTCCTAGTTCAGGCAGAACCTCCTCAATGGTCATACGCACGAGTGCCCAATAAGAAGATTCCCTGGCTAGTCGACGGCATACCGTCCCGACATCCGCCCACTGCTCTTAGCATATTCAAAGTCTCGCTTCGTTAATAACTTTTTCGGGCAATTGTTTGTTCTTCTTAGCACACTTTGTGCGAAATCTAAGCTGAGTGCATCGTTTATTACCCTTGAATTAATCTTAAAGTCTTTCAAGTAAGCTAGAAAAAAAGAAAATCGTCCCAATCTGCCTCATCTAGGCAATAACCACACTCAAACTGCACAAATTGCAAGAAAATATTCAGAAAAAAAGTAAGCTAAGCGTTGGATAGTGCAGAAAAAGTTCTTCAAAACGGTATCCATACGAATGGCAGTTTCTCTAGATTTCACATAAAATGAAGCATACAAATGTGGAGTATCAGAAAACGACAGAACTTTCTGAAACATCTAATAGTAACCTATCAACTAAAATCCTGTTTGATGTGCCTTCCCACACCAATGTGGCGATTAATTCCAATATATAGCTGTCTAGACGAGTACTTTATATATTTGTGCAATTCAGACTACATGTAAATACTCGCCTGTATAACCCACTATTTTACTCGGTATCAAATATCGGCCTTTTCCGATTTGCGTAACGATGATTTCGCGGTTTTCAATAAGAATTCATGTATCGCATGATTATCAACATATTTTGTTCACGTCAAATCGATTACCAAATCGCTTTGTGACCAAAATATCGCGTGATTCATATGTGAGTCACACTTAACGCGTCGCGCGGTACATTGGACTAATGTATATGAGCGAAATATCGAATCGTTGTGTTAGCCGATTTTCTTATAGTAGTCAAATATTTGTTTATTCATTTATTTAATTGAATAAATAATGTCATAAAACGACGCTGCTCTGCGGAATGTGAGATGTGCTCGTTCAGCGAAGGTTTACAAAAGCAAGGCCTTATGAAATCTCCAGTCTGATCTTTTCTGCTCTTTTTTTTATTGCTTTATTATTCATGATATCATATGATATTATTCCCTATCATAAAGAATAAGAGAGCACATAAAAATCTCTTTTGGGATAAGTCGCACTTGAGATAACTGCATGGTCCGGTATTTAAAGAAGCAACGACGAATGAAGCTAAGAAACCCGTAAGCAACAATTCTATTACCATTCAAGAAACTACAGTTCAATATTTATTATATTTTTGGCTATTGAGTAGCCTACACGACTTTCAATTTGCTTTGCAAATTCGACCACCCAGGTCTTCTGATCCCGTTGACCTTTGCATTACGCCCATAAAGTGACGTGATCACTTAGCTGCCCCATTGGTGCTGCAGAGAACGGAAATACGCTTCCGATTGCTGTTGCTTCCCACTCTGACCCTCTGCGATTGCAGCTTGAAATGTCGTCGTTCGTGCTGACTCTCTTCGAAGGATCACGAAAAGTAAAGTGCACATAGCGAGAATGTAGTATGGGAAGATCTGAAAAGACTGTATCTAGAGCAGGAAAAACTGAAAAGTGGAAATATTAGACATTACACCTATGGTTATTACTGCTGAAAACTAAGTGAGATAGGAATCCATTTCCCTGACAAGGGAATTAAGGTTACTCGTGGGTTGGGGCGTGTGGGAGTGAAATGGCCATCCTATATTACTACTAAACCATCGGCCTCGTCTGACTCTCTTCTGTCTATATGTCCTTTTCTGTCATGAAATTGGTACAAGCTCAAGCTTCACCTGGAGAAGTAGATCAAGTTTGGAGCGTGTAGAATATGGGCCAAGAAGTACAAAATCAAATAATGACTGTAGAGCCCCCCCTCTCCAGCGATGAGGGGCGTACAATGGATAGCGAGTAATCGGGCGAAGAACTCTCCAGATTCAACAGGCGAACAGCTCAAAAGCTAAAGAAAAAATATGAACCTGTGGGATCATATTTGGAAATTCACCAGTGATGGGCAGAACGGGTAGGGATAGGGTAAACGTCCTTCAAACTAATGGAAAAAATAAGGATAAAGCATTTGCCGTTGATCAATCCCTTTTTGGGATGCGGCACGCATTCTACTTCCATTTGTACATTCGTAGTGGCGTTTGAATGCGATGTGGCCTATACAATGACTTGCGGGGGCCAGCCGATGTACAAGTCAGTGTTTTTATCCTCCCAGACAAGTCTAACCCCGGACCGCTCGCGTGGTGCGTTCACTTTGCCAATACACCGCTGCTGCCCCAAATTGGGTGGTATCGCTAAAAACCTTGGTTATAAACTCGCGTAGAGAGCAGAAAAATTGTGGACATGAGCAATGCCGAAGGTGCACAAAGCAAATCTCAATGACGAGCTCAAGTCCACAATGTGTAGAGCATAGGGGGCAGCATTTTGAAGAAATTTGTGTTCTTGGGGAGAAAACAGTGAGTAGAGATTGGCGGAGGCCATAGGGTCAAGTAGTAATATTATTTCGAAGAGCGGCGAGGAGGGGGGGAAGGCGGGGGGGGGGGATGGGGGGGGGGCGAGTTTGCCATGAAATTTACAATCCGTTCCGGCAGGCCGGAGAGGCGAGTTGGAGTGTGATAACTGTTCTACGTTAACAATCAGATCTATGAAAAGCAGACCATAGTGGGAGGTGAATGTTACGGGAGCAATAAGTTGAGGATCTTGAGGAGTTCTTCCTCAGGCTATCGATGGTGCGAAGGGTCGCATCGATCTCTCCAACCCCCCCCGCCGTTTCCCACTATGGGGAGCGGGTCGCAGTTGATTTTGATCGGACCCGACGCGAGGTGTACGTACTTTGGAACAATACGTCAAGCTTTCGTAAGTGAAAAAGTTTACTGAATTTTGCAATTTTTTTTTGTTTCAAGCGCCATATATATTTAGCCTCTCTCCGACATAGCCTTCTCGAAATCGTTTTCTCGACGAAGTCGGGAGAGAGTTCTTTCCGAAGAGTTCCGAAAAGGAAACGTATGGGTAGCGTTTCGAGCGAGTGGGTCACTAAATTCGCATTGAAGTGATGGCTAACCCTTGAATGGTTTTTTTTAAGATAAAAAAGCCGCGAAATTACAGTAGATCGTCATGATTAGGTATCCTACAACTTAGATAAAACTCGTCGTCTTTTCGACCCCCCCCCCCTTCCTATATCGACTAGTGCATATCGTTAGAGCAGCCCGTGCAAGTAGTGCTGCTGCAGCAGAAGAAAGTGAGGAGAGCAAGAATTAATGGGAACTCCAGCATTTCTTAAATTGACTTCCATCGTGTTGATATCCGGTTAGACACCCCGAGGAGGGTTTCTTTCCTATTTCATTTACCCTCCGCTTATTTTCAATAGAAATTGCTACTTGACAGATGCCTTCTATTTACTCACGTATAAGGCGAGAACTCCGATACCGTATGCTTTTGGTGACAGACTCGCCCTGAGTTCGCGAATAATTATTGAACCTAAAAAGGAGCATTGCCAGTCGAATGATATGAAAAAATAATAGCAGTTCCTACCTAGAAAGAAAAGGCAGAATATGATAAAATGTAGAGTGACAACTGGAAGGAAAATCCGTATGGCCCTCAAATTCTCGTATACCTGGTATCTCAAGGATAGCTCATAGCGCCTGAAAAATGACTGCTTATAGAGGTTAAACATCACCTTAAAATTTTATGGATAAGAGGTAAGAGCGTTCTCAAGCTACCCTGAAGTTTTAGGGATGACAGCGGTCTCAGGTAACCCTGAAATTTCATGAATAAGAGCGCTTAAGATAAAAGCGGTCTCTGACACTGTACTATGATGATGACCAAGCAGAAAACCGAAAAAGAAGAAAAAGAAGAAAAAGAAGAAAGGAAAAATAAGGGAAAGGATGGGTACGAAAAGTTTGGCACTATTAAAAACTGAGCCGAATTTTAATCGATTGTACTTGAGTAAGATATGACTAGAAAGTCGCCTGCATGGGTGTTCCGACACATAGAGCCCGAACATCGTATCAGTTTGGCACAAAACGCTTGGCGCCTCGCGCCACAGGCGCTGGCGCTAACAACAGTTTTGCGCGGGCGCCCGTAGCGCAGGCTACAGGCTCACTCGCAACGAACTAATGTGATATTCATGTTCTACGGGTCAAACTACCTCTGAAGACAAGTTTTCAGCAAATTGGTGATCAGGGTGTTCTGGCACCTACTGACACCGCCACTTGTGGCGCCGGCGCCAGACCAATGTGATATTCGTGTTCCAGGGGTCGAACTACCTCGGAGGCAATTTTCTGACTAAATGCTCAGTCAGGAAAAAATTTCGTTAAAAATCCTGTTCAATTTCGGTGTTGTGTGCCCTGTTCCTCAGAGATTGAGCAGGATTAGGATGTAAAGTTCAAATAGTGCCAAAAGTTTTGCATCATTTTTTATATTAACTTTTTATTGAGTGAGGAAAATGATCAAAACCAAGTAAACCACTAAGTGTAACAAATAAAAAGGCATGCGCTATTGAATA